CGTTTTATTTTTACACCCATTCCTTTCTAGGATGCTTCTGGGTTTTCATGTCTGGTTTCCCTTTCAGATGGCGAGGCTCTTGAAATCCAGAATATTTCCTAGCTGTCAGTGATCTCTGGCACCAGGACAATATTTCCACCTGTGTTGGTACTACCTGGGGTGGGGTCAGGCAAGCGTCAGGTGCTGCTGATTCACCCTACCATTCAGGAACACTGCACCCCCACCCTGTCCAGCTTCTTGGGACACCACCCACAATGATCATATCACGAACAGCACCCCCGGAGTTGTATGACAAAGCAGCCTCCTGGAGGACCTGGGTCCTCCTGGACTTTATATTTCATGTCTATACCCTCAATATACTGTACGTTATAGATACTAAATAGTTTTCTGTATGAAAAGATTCTATGATTTTGAGATTTGGGGGAGGGGAGGTGAAAGAGAGGAAATACATCTTGTGTAATGTAAATAACAAACTTACATTTTGTTTTTTGCTGTTGTTTTTAAAGTCTGGGGTTTTCAGCCTTTTGCTAAGGCTGGGCTTGAGTATTGCTATGAACATTGGCAGTGACGGTGTTCACAAGGAGAGCCCACAGTTGTAGTATTCAGAGCCCTGGCTGCTTTTCAGAAAAGACCCTGGGGCCTCTGATTCTCTCTGCAGCGCAGCTTTCCAGGCCGCTGCTGTTGCTTAAGGCTGTGCTGCAATCCAGAGCGCTCAGGAGTGGGAAGTCCAGAGTTCTCCCCGCTTCTGGGAACAGCCCCCCATCCCCCCTCCCAGCACCAGCTTCCACAGGCAAGTCCTCATGACAGTGGGTCAGGCTCACCCAAGGATTTCACAAACGCCTGGCCTGTTCCCAGCACAGCACAGCTGGGAGGGCTCAGCGCTGGGGGGAAGAGTTCCATCCTCCTCCATGGGCCTCCGCTGTCCTTGGGCCCAGGGCTGTCGGGCTGGAGCCCAGGGAGAGGGAAGGGCTGCACTTGTCCACGCTTGCCGCAGCGCAGGCAGGCGGTAAGCTCTGGGCCTTCCCTCCCTGCTGATTTCCCAGCTCTGGCTTAGTCAAGGTACAAGGAGGAAATTCCCTTTCCAAAGAAGAGAGGAGAAATCCAGGTTTGTCTTCCCTGAAGGCAGTAGCAAGTGGTCCCAGAGTCACCTGGGGAGGTGTTGATTTATTCAGTTTCCAAGACCATCCTTAGGCTTCTGATTCAGAAGAGCTGGGGTAGGAGTCTGGGAATCAGCAATTTCATCCACGCCCTGGGGGACCAGCCTTAGGTGGTTCTCTGCTTCTCTGTGCTTTCAGGGGCCTTGAGGGGCAGGTGGGAGGATTTCTGGACAGTGAGTGAAGGGTTTAGCAGAAAGTGCCTGGATTCTAAATGAGGGCATCCAACTCTCTAACTCGGGCCAGATCCTGGAGGAACTGATCTTGGATTTGGGGGCTCAGCTTCTCCATCTCTAAAATGGACGTGATCTGGGGGTAGAATGACCAACTGTCCTGGTTTTCTACACTTTCAGGGCTAACCCGGGACAAGCTGGTTACTCTACCTGAGGGTGGGATGGGATCCTGGATGTGCGATGTAGTGGCATAAATAGCGGTCTGTATTTATTCAATTTACGTATTTACTAATTTATTGTCTGGTCGCTCCCACTCAACCTCTGAAGAGGCGGGCCAGCAGGGTTTACAACAATCCCTGACACATAGGATGTGTTTCATAGCTATTCGCTGAATGAATGAATGAATGAATGAGGGAGTGAGTGACTAGAGGGGGGGGGGGTTGCTGGGCTCCAAGGACGGGCTCCCTGGATAGAATGTGGGGGGGCGTCTGCTCTGCTGGCCCGGAGGGGGATCTCGGCTCCCCCGGGACAAGACAACTTGATCCACTCTCAGCCGGGAAAGAGAGTCAGGGCTTTCTGAGCAGCGTCGCCTCGAGAGGTCAGTGACCCCTGGCGACGGGTGGCCGGCTCCCTCCCTGCCCCCACGCGCCCAGGGCGGCCCGGTCCCCCCCTCCCCTCCCCTCCCGTCCCCCGCCCCTGGGAG